AATATACAGATCAATATGAAAAAAAATTGTATCAAATTTATCAAACAGGATAGCTACACAACAACGAAAAACCTACCACAAAAAACAATCTGAGTACCAAAAGGAGACACAAAAAAATACAAATAGACGAATTCACGAACAAAATAACAGAAATCATAAAAAAATTGCCGAAATACAAAAACATCCAAAATCTCAAATTTCATCCCAATACCATAGGATTACTCAAAGAACTATGAGATCGAACGACAGCTTCAAAACCATTTTGGTAATTTTTTATACATTAACCGAAACGTGGTTATACAGAAATACAATGAAATTCAATTTGTTCTATCGGTTCATAGATGGATGGAGGAGGAAGACCTGAACATCATCGGAGGATACGGTCCAGAAAATATCCAGACCCAAACAAGGGAAGCGTTTTACGACCAATTATAACAAGTAGTAGATCAAGTCAGAAGAAAGATGGTAATATTGGGAGATTTTAACGCTCGAATATGCAACCAACTAGTACCCGGCATCAAACAAAAACAACGAGAATGTTAAAAACGAAAATGGGGAACTGATGATCAACTTCTGCACGAATAACGAACTAAGAATAAACAACACATTTTTTAATATGCGTTTAAAAACACTTGCAATAAGTTGTTTCATCTGTCTTTACTTGTCTAAGCTCGATTCGTTTACCTCCTCCAGTGGCGGAGCAAAATGTAGCATGTCAAACGAAATAATAGTTATAAAAGAAAATTATAAATTATTTTTCATTAAATTTCTAATAACGGAATATACGTATAAATTGCGAAGAAGTATTTTTCTAGCTTGCAGTACAATAGGACAGGATATAACGAAAAATACATTTTAAAAGGATTTTGAAATATACCCAAAAAAGTGTTAATTATTTAACCCACTTTAATTAAAAAATGATACAGATTTTTTAAGTTTTAAGCACTGTAGCGAATTCTGAACTGTTACAACGTACTGACCTTGATTAATTAGCTTATCAGTCAGCGTCTTCACTGGAACTGTCTTCATCATTGGAATCTTTCGCCAAATCGATGATAATCCTACTTTCATTTTCATCATATGTGACCATTTTTGCCCAGTCGTCCTGAATTAATTTTTCAGTATGGTTAACACAACTCGCCCACACTCCAGGTGTTGCCTCAGCTAATACATCGCCCCAAACTTTTTTCACTGTTTCATCTCCACGTCCATGTTCTCCAATATGACGATCATACTATTGTTTAGAAATGCCCCAGGCCAACTCAATCGGATTATATTGACAGTGATATGGAGGCAATCTCAAAACCTGATGCCCATGTTCTTGGAGTAGCTCGTCTATAACGTACCAGGTATTTTGTGGTTCATTCTGGCGACAAAGACTCAATAGCTCTGTCTTGCCCGAATCGTCTTCAAAAATTATTTTTTTCGCTCGTAACCATTCTTGTAAATCCGATTTTTTCCAACTGGCATTCGGTAACTTTTCTATTAAAGAGCTATGGTATGAGGAATTATCCATAATAATTAGAGATGGTTCCTCCAACATTGGTATCAGCTTTTCGGAGACCCACTTTTTAAAAGACTCTTTATCCATAGAATCATGATAGTCTGCACTCTTCGATTTCGTAGAAAACAGTAATCCAGCATCTTCAACAAATCCTTGCCTACTTCCGGCATGTAAAACAACAAAGCGTTTACCTGTATTTTCGTGTCCTTTTCTGATGCTTTTCACACAGTCATCTTGCCAAGTACGTTTATATGACCCTTTTAGGAATATCCATGTTTCATCTAAACAAACGAACTGAAGTGGGCTTGGACTTAAAAAATTTCTCATATAATGCCTCAAAAAATATAGTCGTTTTTTTCGCTACTACTTTCTAGTTTGTATGAAAACCCACAATTTTTCATAAGACGCCACAAACTTGTATCAGAACCGTCATAGAGATGCTTACAGTACATGCATACAGTACATTTCTAATCTCTCCTTTTATAGTATCGCTGACATCATTAGTCTTTTTTTTTTGTACATTACGTGACTCTCCTGGTGTAGTAAGAGCTGCCCCTGTCTTGTATTCACACTTTATTCTTGTCACTGTGCGAAGATTGATTTTCAAAGCGTCCGCTACTCGTTCATGTACCGATGATAACAAAAGCAAAGGTCCGTTGTTTTCTTTTTCTTTTTTAAAATACTACAATAAATGAACTACGTATTGTCGCATTTCTCCTGTGATTGTTTTTCCGGCATTTTTTTATTAAATAGAATAATTAGTTATTCACAACAAAAAATAATAAGTTAAACTGTTCGGAACAAATTCCAACAATGACTGACTAAAATCGACTAAAACAACATAAAATATCAATGGTAATTGCTACAATTATAAACCTATTAGCTAGCTCATTCAGGAACAATGCCACAAGTCGTTATTGCAATGGGTATCGGAAGAGAGAGAGAGAGAGAGAGTTAATTTATAATAAACTGGAATTGTTAAGGTGTCGAGAGTATTATTTTATGTAATGGAATTCCACACAGTAAGAGCTCAACTATTAATTAATTAAAAACTGTTTACTTATAAAAACTATTTCATCAGCTACTTCAAACCTGCACAGATCAGGGTAACATGTTAAAAAAAAATACGTCACTGCCAGCTATCTGTATTCGTAAAGAGGCCGAACTTATCACCGACACCGTATCGGCCAAACGCATCGGTGTTATTGCTACAATACTGGGAGATGTGAGTGGTCTCTTCATTCCCTTCTCATCGCACTTTACCATGACGAACGTGACTCGCACAATTAAATTACGCATCTGTGTATCAGAGAGAGAGGAATATTAAAAATTCCGTAGTAGCTTATTTCAGGCACACGCCAAGAACGACGAAAATGAGTATAGATTATATTGTAACCAACAGAGATATACATCCATCAAACATAATCGACGTAAGATGCCTCAACTCAGTAGATGTAGGTAGCGACCATAGCATAGTATTATGTAAAATAAAAATAATCCTGAAATATTTCAGGCCCAAGAGAGCGGCGCCAACACAAACAAAAATCAAAGTCTAAGGACTAAATACGGAATACTTATACAGGAAAAGAATATCAGAGAATATCGCTGGAAATGAAATATTAGAAAACGATTACATCGAGGAAAGCTGTGAAAAACTCAAAAATAATATAATTAACGCAGCAACAGAATCACTTGGAGAGAGGAAAGTAACGAACACTGACCTATCGAAAAAGAAAACACCATGGTTTAGAGAGGAAGTGAAGACAAATTGTGAAGAAAAGAAGAAAGCCTTTTACACTAAAGAACACAACAGGCGTACAACCACTATAAACGAATCAGAAATGAAACGAATACTTTAGTTAGAGAAATAAAAAAGGAACACTGGTAGAGTTTCTCAAAACAGATGGAACACGATTTCTATAGAACACAAAAAGAAATATGATCAGACTACAAAGAAAAGAGATGAACGAGCTAATAAAAACGAAACACATTCAGAAGGAAAAATGAGTCAAGTGCAAGAGAAATCATCAGAATACAACAAACCGGCATATCTATGTTTCGTGGGCCTTACAAAGGCATTTGACTGGGTCAAATTAAAAGACGTTATTTACTTACTGTATGCAAGAGAGATACCTCTAGCGATAATCAAAATGATCGAAAATATCTACCAAAACAACACAATAAAAGTAAAAGCAGAAGAACTAACCGACCCTATTGAAGCTGGCAACGGGATAAGATAAGGAGATTTCATAAGTCCTCTATTGTTCAACCTGATTATGGATGAAATAATAAAAAAAGTAAGAACTAAAAAAGGATACCAAATGGGAGAAAATACAATGCTACTCTTTCAAAGTGAAGATGATTTACATGATTTTACGTGATATATATCCATGAATTAGCGAATAAAGATATTTTCGTGAGGTAGTGAGGTAAATACCAATTTTTGTTTAATAAAATATACCAATGACTAATACGGATTTGCTACGTGATGTCCTGCCCATCAAATCACTTATCAATCCTCTTATTATGCATTGTTTGTATAAAATATAATAAATAAACATTAAATTGCGGATTATAATATATTGAGATTTTATCAGGAATTTACGATTATCAAAAATTCAGATAAATTATAATGAGTAATTATGCCATGCATAGTAACTGACAGGGAGAAATATCCACTAACTTCTCATTTGGAATTAAGGTTATGTTTTGTTATTTTTTTCTTAAGATTTAATTATTTTCAGTGTATATTGGACCAAAAAGATTACATTTGAATCAACCTAAGTAAGTATATGAGGATATTTCTCCATCTTCTGCCTTCTTCTTCTCTTCTGCTGTTCAAGAGACCCATTTCCTTGAAGTGTTCTTAATATTTTCTAGCCGTCGTTCCCTTAGTCTTCCTCACTTTCTATTAAGTATGAGCCTCCCACATAAGACATTCTTGAGCATTATTCCCACGGTCATTCTTTATTCGTTTCAAAATGCTTCTCAGCATTTTAAGTTCCCATCTTTCTAGCTGCTCCTTCTCAGTTTTATTGAACACTTACGTGTCGTATGCAGATGTAAAAGTTGATACTACTGTTCGGTATATACTCAGCTTTTCCTGAATAGGAAATTGGAACATAATAGATTTCGCATAATAATCTTCCGTTTTTATCCTCAAATTGTTTTCTTCTTCATTTTATACAGGTGCTTTAATCAAGAATGCTCCAAGGAGTAGCAAAAACAAGAGAATATAACTATATTCAACTATTATTCGCCCCAAAATAACGCATGGAATCGAGACATGGACTCTGTCTCCGGTTTTAATATTCAAAATTTGTAGTTTACCTTATTCCAATTCAATGAATTAACATCGTTAATTACACATAATTTAGCAACTTATAGGAAACGAACTCACTTTCATCTTCATTTCGACACAACCCTGTATGTTGTAATTGACTCATTCGAATTTTATTAATTCTTGACCTTAGACCACAAAGTAAAATGATAAGGTGGAAGAGGAACGGTTTAAATTAAGATTCGAAATTTATCAGTCATTTTTGAATTGATAATATTAGCGGTGAAATGCGGAAAGTAGCGGTGTTGTTGTTAGTTTTGTTTCAACTGTGCTTAGGAAAATCGGTAGAAAACGATGGTGATGAGCTTGTTGGAGTAGCTGTGGTAAATATTCTTTCCTCTAGATGGTTTATTATTATTAGTTCTAAAGCTTATTTTTTGTTGTTGTTTTTTAAATTCATACATATCCTTTAGAAATACATCATATATGACATTAAAGCAAGATGATTCGATTTTAATATGGTTTATTTTGTCAAATGGAAATAATATTATTCTGAAGTTTATACAGATATACAGGATATAGGGGAACCTGGCCTAAAATGACATACTACTTTTTTGTCGTCCAATAACTTTTTTATTTTTTTAATAAAAATTTAAAAAAACATAAATGTTGTTCATTGTTTGGAAGTAGAACAGATCATGGAACATAAAACTCTAACAACACAATATTTTTTAATTAAAAAAAGGAAACAAAATAAACGTTGCTATGTCATTTTATCCAAGTATATTCGGCTAAAACGACACACTCACATGGATAAAATATCATATAAACTAAATTAGCAAAGTTCACAAATAAATTTTTTGCACGATTTTGAGATACCAGCAGTGTGCCCATTTTGAGCATTTTTGGCGCCTAATCCAGAATTCTTTGGACCTTGAATGGGAGTACAAACTGGTACAATATAAACATTATTATTATTATTATTATTATAATATAAGCGAGGGCAGAGGAACTAAGTCCCTATTATGCCCAAAAACAAAGAAATTTCATTAATCACCTACTAGTAAATAACAAAAATTACAACTAAAAGAAATAAAATTACAATTTTTGGTTTAAAATAAAAACTATATTTTAACTATAATATAAAACTGTCGAGTCTGTTTTTGAACGAGTTGGTAGAGGAAGCGGAGACAATGTTGTCGTTGAGGTTATTCCAGCACTCAAAAACTCGATTTGGAAGAAAGTTCTGTCTTTGTCTTATAGAAAAATTTTCTTTCTTTAGTTTATATTGATGACCTCTGAGGCGTTCATCTTGGTTTATGATAAATATTTCATCGAGGTTTCCAAAATTGAATTTTAGTATTTTGAATGTTGTAATTAAGTCTCTAATAAACTCTACGTTATCGTTGGACATCCGATACCAATTTGTAAAAACGTTTATTTATTCCATATTGCTATACGGAGTGGAAACATGGACTCTCGGAATTACAAGTATGAGGCGTATAGAAGCCTTTGAGATGTGGGTTTTTCGAAGAATGCTGAAGATCTCTTGGACAGAGCACGTGACCAACAACGAGGTGCTAAGAAGAATGGGTACTGACAGAGAACTCCTAAATATTGTAAAAAACCGAAAAAACGAGTTATTTAGGACATATCTACAGAGGAGAAAAATACAACTTCCTACGACTTATAATGGAAGGGAAAGTGGAAGGAAGAAGAGGTCCAGGAAGAAGAAAATGCTCCTGGTTGAAGAACATAAGAGACTGGACAGGCATGGACACACATGCGATACTAAGAACAGCTCAAGATAGAGAGCAATTTGCTGTAGTTATAGCCAACCTTCAGTAATGGAGAAGGCACCTTAAGAAGAAGAAGAAGAATTAAGTCTCCACGTTGTCGGCGAAGTTCAAACGTAGTTAGATTAGCCATACTAAGTCTTTCTGCATAAGACGGTCTTCTCGGTCCCAAAGAAATTCGAGTGGCTTTTCTTTGAACGTTTTCCAACAGAGTCTTGTCTCGAACCAGATCGGGATACCACGTTGGTCCAGCGTATTCAAGTATGGGTCTTACGTACAAAGTGTAAAGTTTGCAAAATAATTGCATTGAAACTCCCGAAAAACACCTTCGAATAAGATACAGTCTGGAGTTTGCACGTTTACAAATAGAGGTAATATGATCGGACCAAGTTAGGCTGCTGTTCACAATAACACCAATGCCCGTTAACAAAGTACGGCACAAGTGGGTTATTTTTGCCAATTCGAAGCACTACACATTTTTCCGCGTTTAAAGGTAGTAACCACTGGGAACACCAAGTTAAAATAGAGTCCAAGTCTATTTGGAGGGTTAGCTGGTTTGTGTTTGGATTGGCATATATTTTTGTATCGTCAGCGTAAAACGATATTTTACTTGAGACATAATAAGGAATATCGCTGGTGTAAACCGTAAAAAGCAGAGGTCCAAGGACAGAACCCTGAGGCACTCCACTTTCCACTAACCTGTCCTGTGAGAAAGATTCGCCAACTCTAACTTTGTAATATCGATCTGTCAGGAAATCATCTATCCAACGAAGTAAAGTACCGCGAACTCCGAAATGTTCTAGCTTATGTAGAAGTCTGCGCTTAGGTACACGGTCAAAGGCTTTAGAAAAATCTAGATAAACAACGTCGACCGGCTGCGAACTGTTAAGGGATGAGGTCCAGTCGTTAACACAGTGTAGGAGATTGGTTAGAGTAGAGGGACCAGAGACAAATCCATGTTGTTGTGTTGGAATAACATGTTCCTGGAGAAGGAAATTGGTCATCTCCTCGGAAATAATGGCTTCCATAACTTTGGCAACTACTGGCAGCAAGCTAATCGGACGATAATTGTTGGGGTCGAGTTTGTTGCCTTTTTTAAAAATAGGGGTAACGGAAGCTAATTTCCAACTAGGGGGTAAGGAGTTTTGGATGAAGGAGGTTTGCATAATTAACGTTAAGGGTATTGCAAGCGTGTCTGCGCACCTTTTTAACAGTTTTGGTGTTAAACCATCTAAACCAGGTGAAGCGGCCGTGCGAAGTTTAATTAAGTGTTGTTTGACATGATCCACTGTGAATTCAACTTGCTGTAAGGATGCGCCGATACGATTACAGTTAACAGCAGGTAGATAACCATCATTTAATTCTTTAGTAAAAACCTGTGAAAATGCTAAAGAGAGAGTTTCGGAAGATTCTTTGTCAGAAGAGCATAAAGTCTGGTTGGATTTTTGAAGTAGCGGAATGGAAACTTTAGATGTCATGGAGGAACGTATGTATTTATAGACTTTTTTAATGTTACCACTTTCAATAACGTTTGCTTCAAAATTTTGTCTTAGGGTTTTTAGAGATGTTTTTAAGTTATTTGAAAATCTGCGGTGGCTTTGGAAATCACTAAGAAGCCCGGTGTGTATAAATTTTCGCCATAGATGTCGTTTGTGATTGATTTGTTTAATTGCTGTTCGATTTATCCAGAGTTTGAGGTTGTTTTTATAACTCTTACGGAAAATAGTATTTGTAGAAATTATATTGTGGACTTTATCGAGAAATGCAGTCCACATTAATGAGGGGTCGTTTAAGTCTGCAAAAAATAAATGCCACTCGATTTGAGAGAGTTCAGTGTCAACTTCAGAAAAGTCGGTAGTAGCATATGTTACAATGTTATTTTTGCGGGGTAATATTTGATTGAACTGGATGTGAGCCGTTATAACTGCATGATCTGACTTTCCTATGGAAGAACTGACTTCGAGAGATGAAATCAGCTGTTCGTCATTAATAAGCACTAGATCTAAAGTAGAAGGTTGGTTATTATTCCTAAATCTAGTAGGTTCTGTAATGAGTTGTATCAGGTTTGAATTTACTACAAAGCTTTTAAATAAATTATGAGCGTTTTCGGCGTCAGATAATGAAGTTATTGGCCAGGTGATCTCTGGGAAATTAAAATCTCCAGTAATGAAACATGGAGGATTATTTTCGTCTTCGTCATCATCTGACACAATGGTCTTTGTTTCCTCCTCGCGATCTTGTGTCATTAAAGTCAGATTCTTAATTGCTCGCTTTGCAGCTTGACGTTTTCCTGTAGCTCGCTTCTCGAGTGCTTTGGCTTTTTGTTCTTTCATATTTGGGGTAGCCATTAGAACTTTTATTCCTTCTGATTTTCTTTTTTTGTAGCGTGACTGGACACCTGAACACGATGGAAGAGGTGAAATGTCAAGTGGACGAATACCAGAATTAATTGAAGAACAACTTTCAAGTGAGTTTGGTCTAGGTGTAGAAACCGGTTTGTTTTCTTGATCTGGAAAATCTTGATGTCGCAAAACATTATCATTCTCTTCTTTTGACCCTGTTAGGGGTTGAATTGCAACTTCTTCTTGAATAATCTGTTATTTTGGAAGGATTAAATAATCAGGGAATATGTCGGGATTAAGGGGCCAAATTCCAGTCTTTAAAAGTCCACTAACGGCATTTTGGTGTGTAGCTGATTTTCCATACGCTGTAGCAAATAATCCTCCAACTTGGTATTGCGAAACTGTTCTGCCTGGATGACACTTCATCCACTTGGTAACTTCTTGATCATAGTAGCTCTTTAATGGACCAAAGAAACATTAATGTTTTTATGGCTCGCATGCCCATCAAGCAACAGCATAACCTTGTCTTGTATAGAAGGATTAGAATATTCTTTAAAATGTTTCATCCATGTTAGGAACACTTCGCCTGTCATCCATCCTGTTTCCTGTGCTATTCCTAAAGTTCCTAAAGGCGCTTCATCTATTAATTCTTTTTTCCAATTTTTCCTGGGGAATATAAGTGTTGTTGGAACATAATTCCCCACTGAGCTAATGCAAGCAACCATCGTTATGTGCTGCCCTCTTTCCGCACTTGTAATTAGGCCCACTTGCTTTCGACCCTTGGTTGCAAATATTTTGCCGGGTTTTTGAACCGTGGATAGGCCTGATTCATCCACATTCCATATGCGTGTAGGATTAATTTTGTTATTTGTAATAGTATCCTCTAAAAGTTTAAAAAAATTGGCAATTTGCGGCCTGTTGAATGATTGCGCTCTTGCTGCAGACATGGACTCGGGTTTTCTAAGGGATATATCGGGGTGTCTAGACCGAAACCCTCGTAACCAATCCCAACCAGCCATCTTAGTGGTTGTGTTAAATCGGTGTACTATTCCATTTTGATCTGCTAACTGGTAGGCTGAAGAAGAACGAACGTCATCACAAGATAATCCAAACAAACTTGATTATAGGAGTTTTATGTGTGTTACGAGGTCTCTTTCTAATTCTACAGAAAACGTAGTTTCGTACCGGCCAAGACCTTTATTAGTACCTGATACCCGTTTATTCTTGTCTGATGCTCGTCTTCTT